ATGAGATGTTTTTATACAAAGTCTTGCACTCTTTTAGAAGTTCATCTATAATTTCTTGTGCATCATTATCATAAACAGAAAAATTACTACTAACATCATTTTCTTCATCGGAGTGGTGAGAGGCCATTAACGCCATATTTGCACATTCATCGTTTTCCGATTCTGATGATGAACTTACTTCGTTGTCGTCCCATGCGACATAAGCCTTCTTTGTTCTGAAATCCTTCTTGCCTTTGAATTTTCCTTTATTTGCGAGTTTCGGGCAATCTGGCTTTATGTGAACTTGTTTCCCACATTCGTAACATGTAATTTCTTTGTTTGATGTGGGTACCTCCTTTTTCCTGAAATGTCTATTCTTTTTAGAAAAAGAGGAAATTTTATTATTATTAAAAAACTTACCAAGCTTCTTTACTAGAAGCATGAAATTTTCGTCTTCGGAAGATTCGTTATTTTTGTCATCCCTTGTGTCAATCTTCAAGGCAATTCCTTTGGACTTCTTGTCTTGACTTTCATGCTTCTCAAGCCTTCCAAGTTCTAGTTCATGCTCTTGAAGTTTGCCAAATAAGGAAGCGGATGTCATTGTTGAAAGACTCTTCTTTTCCGAAATAGCGGTCACCTTTGGTTGCCATTCTCTTGTTAAGGATCTTAGGACTTTCAAGTTGAGATCATCATTGGTGAAGGTCTTCCCGAGAGCAATCAGATGATTAGTTAGATGAACGAATCTCTTTTGTAAGGCAACAATGGATTCACCAGGCTGCATACGAAACATTTCATATTCTTGACTTAAAGTATTAAGTCTTGATCTTTTTACTTCGGTTGTCCCTTCATGCGTTTCTACCAGGGTGTCCCAAATTTCCTTTGTTGATTTACACTGTGATATACGGAAGAATTCGTCTATACTGAGAGCGCTTTGAAGTATGTTGATTGCTTTCTTCTCATTCAAAATTCTCTTTTTGTCATCTTCATCATATGAGGATTTTATCTTTGGAGTGCCTACGTTATTTATGACGCTCATAGGAACATGCGGACCAGTTTCTACGGTTTCCCATATACCATCTCCTTGAGCCTCAAGATGTTCCTTCATACGGATTTTCCAAAAGTCGAAGTATTCTCCAGAAAAGAGTGGTGGCTTGTTACTGCTTCCACTATCTTTGAAAACCGGGTTAGTACTAGCGGAAGCCATTAGGATCGATAGGAACAAGTTACCTTAACCTGCTATGATGCCAATTGTAAGTACAGAGTATGCCTAAGAGGGGGTGAATTAGGCTTTTAGGGGCTTTTTCTGGTTTTTCGGTATTTTTGAAATTTTACTGGTTAGGTTCTTGGTGATGAATGCAGTAGAAAGAAAAACAAAGTGGACACCAAGATTTATAGTGGTTCCCCTTACAATCCGAGAGTACTCCACTCCCCTTTCAACATGAAAGAGAGTTTTCACTATTGTTTAATAAAGTACAACCTATCACACCATCAACCGGTGAAGCCTACTATCAAACAATAAAAATCAACAAGTGTACAAGAACAATCCTCTTGTAAACACTCACCCTTGTGTCCAACAAACTTGGATCACAAGTCAAAATACAAGTAATCTGAATACTTTGATTTGAGAGTAATAATGGTAATATCAATGCTGAGATTGATCTTCTCCTTCTGATCAAAATTCACTCATTTAATTTCAACACAAGTGTTCAATGCTATGCATATGAAAGATATGATCAATATGAACACTTTTGAAAAGATTTGAAAAGTATTTGAAAGTGGTGAATTTGATTCAAAGAATTGTTTTGAAATTGATTATTGGAGGATTATTTTTCAATTTGAAAAAACTCAGAATTTATATGTGTAAACACACCTTTTTCAACAGGTATATTTGAGTACATTTCAAAATATGAACTGGTATAATTTTCAAACCATTTTTGAACTTGAAACAAAGCCATTTTTCAAAATACGTTCAGTATTAATCGGTTAACCTATATGGTTAATCGGTTAACACTTGAACGTTATACCAAAATATTCAAAATTTGAAATGGTTAACCGGTTAACCTATATGGTTAATCGGTTAACACTGCTATTTTTCAGAAAAATGCTTATAAAAATAGTGTTATACCAATTCTAATAGTTTAAAAAGTATGCTAATGCAATGTGATCAAATGATAAAGATGTTGAACACTTGTATATTAATTAAATTAATGGATTTTGATATACCATAACTTGTGTCCAAAACTTTGAGAGTTGATCAGTCTAATGTTCATGAAGCTTTGAATGTTGATCACTTCCATTCCACTTGATCTTGGTCTTTTGAAAGCGTTTGCCTTTTTGCACAGATGAATTATTCTTGATCTTGATGTTGACGTCATCAAAACTTTGAGATGAAGCTTGCTTCTACAGGGGAGAGTGTGGACGATAATATTTTTACAAAGCTCTGATCCTCTCGTCCTGCTGATAGATCAGCGTGTTGGTCTGATTGAGGACCGCGACCAGGGCTGCCATGGTCGGTATTGGTCGACACTACAGTTTGTTAGAATTTCTCCAACGTCTTCTCTGGAGCCTATTGAACTTTGTGGGTCTCGACGTACTGGACGTCATCATCAGTCACATCGTCGGAGGAGGGGGAGGCGATGTGCCCATCTCTCCTTGTTGGGGTGTCTTCCTCCAGAACCGACATATCATTGTTGTTGTCGGCGTCATGGACGGGAGAAATGACGGTTTTGTGACCGCTGTTATCGTGTTGGTCGACCATGATTGGTTTTTGAAGTTCTGTTTTGGTCTTTTGGTTTCAAGGAAAGAAAAGACAGGGCAACAAGTTTTTCCCACAGACGACGCCATTGATCTAACCTGTCAAACATAATGCGGCTGACAACACGTCTGCAACAACAACGGTCAACAAGAAAGGGGTGAGTGTACCTGCAGACACTGTGATACTTAAGTTAGTCAGATGAAGAGGTATCAAAAAAGAGTAGAGAGAATATAATACCAACCCTCCTGCAGAGGATGGTTTTTATAAAGTGCCCTCAGCGCTCGGTCAATGGTATCCGTTATGGGCTGAGCATTTAGGCCCATAACGGATGACTACCAGGATTCCTACGTGGAGGTAGGGATGAGACAGCTCGTGCTCATTGTCCTGGGTCAACTGCTATGCATTCCCCGGATAATGAGATAGTGGATGGATTTTCCCGTTACGAAGAACATAACATTTCCACGAGGTGTGCGGACCAAGTTGATGATGTGTCCTCGGGTGAGGAGCACGTGAGAAAATGTCTCCTATTGGCCCCAAAGGGTTAGACCGACATTTTAGGCCGTCCTCGATGTATAACTGGATTGGGCTGTGCTCGACACTAGGTCAACCACAGACCCAGTCTAGAACAAAAAGTAAATGGTTGAGTTGTGAAACACAAAAGAAAGGGCGGATAAGGCAAACCCTAAAAAATTGCAGTTGTTGAAACTGTTTACAGCATATGGAGGGCAATGAATGATATAGTTTTCTTAAACAAGAAGATGAGGATACCATCAAATATCACATCACTTACACAACTATCATGAGATTTTTCTTAAGTAACAAACTTAGAGTTCATATTGATACAACTAATATATGTATAGGTTAAAATATGGTTTGTCTTGGTTTGTTTAGTTCCTTAGTCATGGGTTCTACTCACCTGGATCCTTAGAGGATCGATTGTATTTGATTGTTCTGCAATAAAAATTCTTATTTTGATCAAAAAAAAATTACTACTAAGCTAATGAGTTTATGTGATTCTAAGATTACATGTTGTTTCTTATTCTCTTCGCATCATTTCTAACTTACGTATTTTATGCAAATAATGTGTCTTGTTAAATTTTATATTATTACTAATTCTTATATCGTGTTGATAAATTTTATTATATATTATATGATATGTTTCATCGAATTTTAGTGTTATAAATGAGTATGATTTTATTGAGTTGTGTTACATTTTTTTTAAACTAACAAAAAAAATCATAAAAAAATACTTTTCATTTGAAACACAATCGACGAACCCGGTTCAACCCATAAATGAACACGTCGATTCGGATCGGTTTTGATAATGAGATTGTAGGTTGGACGACAAAATCAATCTATTAAAGTTTGAACGAATTTGATACCAGATTAGAATAAAATCAATCCAACCGAACCCTTGTACACTCCAATTAAGTCACAAAATTTTCCTCTTTTGAAATGACTGCACATAGTAGAAAAATTAATTTTTGTTCTTATGTGGTAGAATATAATTTTAAAACTAAAGTAGTTTGATAATTTTTTTTTAATTTAATTGATATGTATCGATAATGTAAAGATTTTTTTACTGTCAATTAATTATAACAGCTGATTTATTTAAAAGATTTGACTTTTATTTCAAACATTTGAAAAATAATACAAACAGTATGATGTGTTGTCAATATAAAACTTTTTACCCTAACATTATCTAACAAATAATTTTTTTAAAGAGTTTATTTGATTAAGAAAGTCACAATGACCTCTCTTAATTTTAAACTATACAAAATTAAATAAAAATATTAGTTTAACTCAAATAGGTTTTTTTTTATTTATATTATAAATAAAATGCATATTATAGAAGGAGATTTTAACTTTTCGGGTAAACTAAAAAATCAAACACACGGCGTGAAAGTGTTGTTAACAAAAAAACAAAGCGTATCGAGACGGGGTTGCCGGCTGTGTAACACCATCACTTCCCACTTCTCGATCTTGTCCCTCAATACTGAGATTTAGGGTTTACCCAATCATCATCAACACTCCCTTTTCTACTGATTTTTCTCTCTTACGCATCTCTCAATTCATCACCAGATTCTACATCGCGGTAAAATTCTATGTTCCTTGTTTCTAATTTCAATTCAATTGTCAAATCCAAATAATACATGCTTCTGAGTCTTATGCATAATAATATGTTCATGAATGGATTCATAAACTGTTTTTATTACTTAAACTTCGGTTATTCATTCATGATTTCTTGTAATTAGGTTTTAGAATAATGGCGGAAGATCTGGTGCTGGATACTGCAATCAGAGATTGGGTGTTGATCCCTTTATCTGTTGTTATGGTTCTAATTGGTGTGCTTCGCCATATTGTTTCCAAGCTTATGCGTTCTACTCAAACTCCTGATGCCAAAATTGTCAGAGAAGGGTATTTTTATTTTGACCTTTATTCTAAAGTTGATTTTTTCCTCACTCTTTTTAATTTGATATTATATGGATGCTGTGGTGATTTTAATACAGGCAAGTCATGCTTAGAGCTCGGAATTTACGGACGGCGGCAAATTTTATCCCTTCCAAGGCTTTTCGTGCCCGCAAGCTTTATTTTTGTAATGAGGTTTGTTTTCTTATTGCATATTATAGTTTGTTTTTCCTGGATCCTTTACAGAAGATAGCTGATGAATATATTTCAAATTTGACACTTTTAGAACTACTATAATACTCATCAGAAGTTAATAACTCTGTCACAAACTTTATCTAGTAACTTACATAATTGTTTGCCTAACCAATTCAACAATGAACTAATTGTTTTGTCGTTTTTCGTTAAAGGAAAATGGTCTGTTGTTCGTTCCAAAGGGCCAAGCCCAGAATCCACAAGCACAGATGTTCTCTGATCCGAACATGGCCATGGATATGATGAAGAAAAACCTTTCAATGATCATACCACAGGTGTTGAGAATAGAGTTTGACGCTACTCTCTCCTTATATTTTTTTATTCCTATTCCTTGCTTGTTATTCTACCTATTGCGATTATGAAATGCCATACTAACTCGTATTGTTTCCTCTTGTTGGGCAGACTCTTACTTTTGCTTGGGTGAACTTTTTCTTTTCTGGATTTGTAGCAGGTAATGTTCCATACTTCCTTGCGCCCCTCCTTGTATCATACTGATAGATTAGGTTGGTAGTTTTCTTCTCTACATGAATTCATATTCTTCATGGTCTGTTTATGTCTGTCATTTTACAGTGCCAAGATGCCAGTTCTTTTGTTTGTAAATAATTAAACATTAAATATACAGTTGCCAACCTGAATAAGTACATAATGTATTGATTTATTGACTATGGAAGCCATATACTTGCTACGAAGATTGATGGAAAAATAAACAAATAATAAATACCTCAAGACGATTTTTATTAGTATTGAAAAGACATAAGAGATAGTACCTAGAGAGGTTTTGTGGAATATTCAAAAGAAAGAATCTTGGATTACATTTTAGCCATTAAATATATGTATGTACCAAGGGCTCAAAAACTAGCTTGAGAATACAAGGTGGAAATATAGAAAATTTTCCAACTACTGTAAGTGTGCACCAAAGGTCAACTTTGAGCCTCAGTCTTTTTCTCTTGGTTCAAGGCATACTTGCTTAACATATCCAAAAGATGGTATTCAACAGATGCCTTTTGAAGATAATATATAGCCTTCATTGGGAAGATGGGAGATAAAATAAAAGAGAAGTTAGTGATTCAGTGATAATAAGCCTAAAAAACTCAATATCCAACTAACTTCGTCCATTTCATAATGAGTGTCAGAAGGTTTTTGCAATAAAGTTGTTAAAATACAAGACACTCTTACTAAACTAACCTTATTAGTTATTAGTTATTGGTGTGTTTCCCATAATCATAGATGTAAAATGAAATGTAATACTTTGGGAGTAGTGCATATAGTAATAACAAGAGGGCATAATTGAAAAAAGAAAATTAATTCTACAGTGAAAAGTGAAAATTGCAACTCATTTTGAAACAAATTTTCTTTGCTAAAGTTACCCTCATTTTGAAATTGAGGGAAGGGAGTATATAGAAGTAAAATAAAGCATATGAAATACAAGTTTAGCAAAAGACACACGATTCTAACTCATAGGAAACATCAAAGAATATACAATACTACAAGTCACATTTTAATTATGAATACTAATTTACTATTGTAGTTACTGCTACAGGTGCTCCACAATAGACCACATTTGGTTGCTGTTGGATGTTGAAGTTCCACTAGATTTAACAATAGACCTCCCATACTAATTTTTTATCCTCCTTCTTCCCTTTCTCCACCTCCACCCCTATTCCCTGCAGCTGCCGCTAGACTCCTTCTAGAAATCTCCGCGTCTCCTTTGTGTGTCTAGACGTTTGAACCCAACCATCCCCACCAACAGTTCCTCTTGCTGTCGTCCCGGAAGACTCATTCGATGAAGATAATGCATAGCCAAAGATGCACCACTTCCCCTATACTCCCTCCCTTTTCCTCAATCTCATTTGTGCTACCCATTTTTACGATCATGAAATTGCAGATCATACATCTGATGTATAACTTGTACTGGAATTCCAAGTTCCAACAAACTTGACACTGTATTGTGGCCTGACCAACTCTGTTCCTCCATGGCCATAGAAGGATTGGCCATGATATCTACCAGAGTTAAGCTAGAACAAAGTTTGTCTTGACTATTGTTGAAGGATTTGGTCTAGTGAGCTTAAGATGAAGTAGCAGATTAAGTACCAATGAAGATTTGGAATCAGAAGCCATGATTGAAGCTTATTCATGCTATGATACCATGAAGAAATCTGAAAGATGAGAGAATTTGAGAGAAAGAGATCAAAGGCATTTCTCAAGTTTGATATTCTGATTTCTTTAACGAGAAAGCTTTACATCAGTCTAGTAAACAAGTACAAAGTGAGTCTGCAGTGCAAACCACTAATTGGAAATTCCATTACAAACTGAGTAACAGCTACTGTCAATTATTCAACTAAAACTTAATTAACTGAACAGGCGAGAGAACTATCAGATTTACGCCCAATCTACTACTAGCAAACAGTATAGTTTACCTTCATAGAGGTTATAACTTAATATCATTGCCTTGTTGGAAAAGGCTTTATTTGTTGTTTAATAATATAGTCATCTGCTAGGAACAGTGTTGTACCCTGCTGCTGTTATTTACCTAAAATATATTTACTACTTTTTTGCAGCCAAAATACCTTTTCCATTAACTCAGAGATTTAGGTCAATGTTACAGAATGGAATAGACCTAAGCACAGTGGATGTTAGCTACGTCAGCAGTCGCTCTTGGTAATCTTCTTTTTCATACACACACACACACACACATCTCACTCTTACTTGGGTTTAATTGTCATGATCGCATTGCAGGTACTTCCTCAATCTGTTTGGCTTAAGAGGATTGTTTAGTCTCATCTTGGGGGAAGAAAATGGTTTGTATTTAATGACTTGAACATTGAGCATTTTTAATTATCTCGTCAATTTCATAATATGAGTTTTTACTACTCCTTGTTTTTTGTCAATATTTCCATTATTACTGGGATTTGCATTCAAACTAGTTAGAAATTCTGATGTGTACTGTTTTTTATGCAGCTGTAGATGATACACAAAGAATGATGCAAATGGGTGGTGGATTCGGATTTGATCCTTCAAAGGTACACAAATATGAGTGGTTTACTGTAGATGTTTTATAAATTTGAAGGTCAATCTTGGAAATTATAGTTTTATTCCATGAATTGTTAATGGTACGGAGTCCCTCAAATGCACATAAGAGCACCTCCAATGGTGCAACCCATTTTTAGGTTCTTTGTGGGACCCACTCTTCTAAAATAACTTATTCAATTTTCACTCTAATGGTGCAACTTCAAAGAACCCATATTGGGTCCCACTACTTTACTTAAATATATTATTTATATTAAATTTATTTTATTTAAAATTATAATTTAAATATTTAAATTTTAATTACTATAAATATAAACTAAACATAAAATTAAAATTAAACATAAAATTGAAAATAATAATTTATAAATAAAATGATGAAATTGTGAGAGAGAAATTTAAAATTAAAGAGTAAATAAAAGTGAGAGAAAATAGGATTGTTATAAATTTTTGCAACAAACTTATATTTATAATAAATAAAAAAAGTTAAAAAAAAATAAAACCAACAAGTTAAATAATTATTTTAATAATAAAAAAAATGAAGAACCATTGCTTATGCAAGGAACGTTCACCAGCTGGAACAACTTTTTGTTGACAATTTGAAGAACCACCGTTGGAGATGGTCTAAGTTTTGCTTCTTTTGTACAAGTGTTCAATTTTAACTAGAGTGTAGTATAAGAAAATGTTAAAAAATAATAGTCCTTGTTGAGTATTTGGTTAATTATTTGGGGATTAGATATACAATGAGGGGTTCAAAGGTAGGATATACTTCTCCTTGCTTTTGCAGTTTCTTTGTTCATTTTGAATGGTGAGAAATGCGAAACTACATTGAAGTATGACAGATGCTTCGTCTAGTGACAAAAGGAGTCCTAGTGTATTCTCTGAAAAATCAATTCTCAACTCTTACTTTCTTCCTTTAATCTTGTTTTCAGGGTCTGAGTGTTGAGAAAGACAATCTTGACATAACTCAGCATGACTGGGCCTTGCCAAATTTCGAGCATCGTGCTGAATCTGTGTTGAAGAAAGTCATCAGCTGAACAATGCCTCAATGACATAGGAAGTTTAATTGCTTACCTTAGCGGAAACACTTGTATTCTATTGTTGTGGCTGGACCTTTGTCATCCACAGAAAAAGATATTAAAGATCTTGTTGAGACAATGATTGTGATGTTGAAACAAAAAATGTTATATATTTTCTATCAGAAAAATTTGTTACGATTTTGTTCAAATCAGAACTTAAATTTATTATTTAAGAATACCTCGCAACCATAAGAAAGGACATGGAATTCCTACGAAATGCCCGAGCTGTGTAATGTGTTAAAGTCATATCTGATATATGTTAAACTGGTGCGAGTTGTAAACCACCACATGCAAGTCTATAGAATGAGGCCAATGTCATGCATGAATGTTTTTAACGTTATGTTATACATGAATATAGTGCTTGAAACCAATGGGTTGTTAATTCTTGAACCGAATGGAGTCAGGTAAAACTGTTGCTTTCATCGCATTTTGATTACTCAATTGAGTATGTTTCCCATCATGAGCAGTCCCTCCCACCGAATGCATTGATCAGCGAGCCATTTATGACATGCTATGTTAGAGAGGATTGTTGTGAATGACATGCCATCTTAGAGAGGATTATTAGAATAATAAGTATGAGAAAATTCTACATTGAGATTTGAGTATTTATAAGTGGGAGAATTCACACATCTATTATCTTAAAATTTTTTGTGAGTATGTTATGTGTGTCTTACTTATGCGGTTTTTCTTAAGGCTGATGTGATGATCTCTAGACTCCTTCATGGTCTAACAAGGATACATCCAAAAGAGGAGGAGAAGAGTGACGGATGAGAGGGAGAGCACTGCATACCTCATCCAAAAGAGGATGAAAAGAGTAACGGAAGAGAGTCTCATGACCCACCAAGGATACATCTTCATCCAAAAGAGGATGAAAAGAGTAACGGATGAGAGTCTCGTGACCCACCAAGGATACATCTAAAAGAGGATGAAAAGAGTGACGAATGAGAGGGAGAGCATTGCATACCTCATCCAAAAGAGGATGAAAAGAGTGACGGATGAGAGGGAGAGCGTTGCATACCTCGCACAACCGAGATGCTACGCCAAAATCTAGAGTCAACCGCGAAAATAAACACGTATACATTGCTCATCTATATTGTAAGTGTATTCTTTTTGGGTAGCGTAGTGATCATTAACTTTATGTGGAGTCGTCTCAATTTTTTGAAGGTCCTGTGTAAATTAATCGTAGTTTCACCGTGATACTACAAATAGAGGTCCTATTTAACTATGTTTTAATAGTGAAAAATAATTTATGAGGTCCTTTTTAACCACGGTTTAATTGTGACAAATTTTAGACTATGTGCGGTAACTCGTCTTAAACGCCTTCAAAGACGGTCTTGACCTTATAAAAATTCAAATGTCTTTCATTTTATAGATTTCGAAATTCAGACATACCAATTATACAATAATTCCTTTTATAAAAACACTTTTATTCAAGTAAAAGATTAGTTAAGAGTTTAATCTACTTTTATTCAAATAAAAAATTAGCCAAGATTTTAATCTTCAGACTCACCTCTAAGACAACATTACTTGTATGTTTTTGTCTGTGTGCATTAAACATAGAGGTGAATCTAAATTTCAGAATTCGAACACACCTCTTGATAGAAATTTACGTTTACCTGAGTCTTTATTTTAGAACAATGGTTGGATCCATATTTAAAAATTCAGACACACCTTTGGACAAAATTATGAATCTTTTATCAACACTTATGAAGAATTTTTCATATCATTTAACACTGCATTCATTATTTACACAATAAACTATATACATAAGTTATATATAACTAATATAAAAAATTTATAAACTCGTTTGAAATATAAAATTTTCATACACTCATTCGAAAATCATACATTAGTCGTTCATAAAGTACAATTAGTCATACAAAATTTTAAATTTTTTACAAAATACAAATAAAAATACAACAACTACGGTGTATATCTAATACACATGTTCATCCTTTGCCTCCTATACTGTAATATATGTTGAAAATTTCCTCAAGTGCATTATCATTTATTTCATTGTTTTGATGCTTTGCGTATTATATCGTATTTTTTAGTTCCTCATTAAATCTCTCATCACACACAAATAACAGGGTTTTTCATGCATATAATGAAGTGTCAACTAAATTTAAAGTTATTTGAATCGATTCAAAACTTAAATGATTTGGTTCAAAATAAAAAAACAAAATGATTCGAGACATTCACAATTTAACTCAATTCAAAGTGCAAAAGAAAAATTATTCGAAACATTCACAATTTGACTCAATTCAAAGTGCAAAAGAAAAATGATTTTATTCAAGCTAAATTTGACTTGATTCATGAAAGTGTCTCTAAATTTAATTTTGCTTTTGTTGGTAGGAATAGACTCAATTCAATTCAAATGTTTGACAAAATGAATCAATTCATTCATAGTTTGACTCAGAATTATTAGAGTGCCTATAAACTCTATTCAAAGGCAAAATGAATAGGTTGATCCTATTCAAAATGTGAAAATGATTTGATTCCCTTTAGCTTTGACCTATTGGTTTTCCATCATTTGTTGATTCATTAGGCATTTGAATAGCATTTAGTTCACTTTTAACTCATTTTGTGTATCATTTCATGCACATATAAATAGTATTATCATTCCATAAATTTATAATTTGATGAGAAAACTCTTATCAAAAGAACACAATCAAATGATTTTATGTGATAAAAGCTTTGAAACTACAACTTCTCAAATATTCAACATCATCATTTTCATGGAGACTTACTATGTTGTTTGTGTGTCTGATAAGGGATTGTAAAAAACCATTAGTATTCTAATTGTGCATTTTGGAGTGTGCTTAGATTTCTTAACAAGTGTTTGATTTCAAGGAAATGCAAGAGGTAAATTTCATTGAAGAAACAGAGAAAGGAATATTTTCTCCATAGGTGTATAATTTTTCTTTGTGCATTGATCAACCTCATCTTGTTGAAGAAGTACTCAAAACTTGAAATTTGAGATTGAGTGAAGATCAACAAGTTGTAAAGGTTGAAGGAAAGATCTCAAAGGTTTGAATATAAGGATTAAGTGAAAATAAGTGAGTATTCAAAGTTGAAGATTGTCAAAGATCGAAGATGGTGATTGATAGATGAAGTCTTCCCAGAAGTAACTCTCTCTAACCATTCTCTTCGGGCTACAAGTGTTGTTGTTACGGTGTATGTTAGAAGTGCATTTTATCATCTCCTGCAAGACATCTCAGATTCCTTCTTACAAGACTTGAAAAAGGTTGGAGCAGAGCATTACTCTCTTGAATTTGTTCTTGTTTGTTGCTAGTACAAAAGTATTTCTTCAAGGAGACATGAAGGTCTTGCTGGACTTCCGCAAAATTTTAGATGATGATTCTAGGATCTTAGTTCGACTAAGAGAGTTATTTGCTGATTTGGTTCAAAAACGATTTCAAGACTTTTTTAGGCAACTTGAAGATTTGTTCCTCCTATTTTCGAAAGGATATAGTTCTTCAGCTATTCAAGTTCATGGTTTGGTGGCAGACGAAGCTATTGTTGAGAAAGTTTCTCTTGGCCTTGTCCTAGTGCTGACACAATTATCTTCTTTTATTGATCAAACGGGCATTCCCGAAATCACTGAGGAATTAGCTGCTTCCTTGTTTGAGATTTGGAAATGTTGGAATAGCTTCTACAACCTTGAGAACAAGGTTGGTTTTGAAGGGGTGAGTAACGATAGAGAGTAGAAGTATATTATTTAAGTTAATTTAGAATTTTTATTGATATGTTAATGTATTGTTATTTAGTGGGCTCTTATTAATAGTTGGCCCTTTTAGTTTATTAAGAGAATTTCTTACTCCATCCTTTAGGATTCTTACACACTATGTGCGTTTCTAAAAATGTTTCCTGCTTTTGAAGATGTATCTCCGGACGCACCATTTTTTTACTCAACGTTGGTTTTTTCGAGAGCTACATCTACAGAAGGTTTCCATTTATACAGCTCCAAAACAAATTAGAATACTTACGCACTATAGTCTCTTCTCCCTCATTCTTCATTTTTCTTCTCATTCTCAAACTCTCTCAACTCAAAAAATCTTTTTTCACCAAACTTCATTATTTTCAATCAAATTTGACAAGGAGCGTTCATTTCAACGATTAAGAAACACCAATACATTTAAAGCTTGATATACTCGGTAAGTTTTCGAGTATTTCCCGTAAACAAGTTAGAATAGTTTTAGGGGTATAAATTTTTAGATAGTTTTTGAAACATAGTTTAGAGACAATGTAAATATTGTTTGTTGGTTGAAACGGATGACCAATACTTCAAAAATTACATTTGCATGGGTAGGGGACACCATTGCCGTAACCTTTGAGTTGCAGGTTGTTCCAGATCTACATATACGAAACAATTTAACTTTAGGGTGCTTCCGTAGATGCAGCTCCGGAACAACCCAAACGTTGTTAATTCTGGATGCTTTTGTAGATATATCTACGGAACTTGTTCCGGGTTTGTATATCCGGAGGTAGAAAATGTTAATTTTTTTTTCTTTTTTCTTTTTTGATTTATTTGTATCTAATTGTTTTTCTTGGTTATTCCATTGTAGACATTATAGCAGACAGAGATGATAGATTGTGTATTGGACGGGTTTTGCAGCATGCATTTGTGAGGCGCAAGCGGAGTCAGGTCACCGTTACCCAGGCCGATACAGCCGAGGCACAACCTATTGGACAGTCTTCTTCATCACATGTCCAGGACACTCCCTCGACCTCATATCCCACCGCATAATCGACTTCTTCATCCCGGAGGCGTCGGGATTCAACTAAGGGCTCATCACAGGCCCCGTCATCCCGCAGGCCTCGTCGGAATACTCTTGTTCCTCATCCTGCCGATGATGTTGCTTCGGTGTCACCTCCTAGAGGCTGATGACCCACCAACGGAGGATGGTGGTCGCGACAACGATGATGAGCCTGAGGGTTTTTCAGGAGGTCCCTCAGATATGTCCCAGTTGATAGGGTATACTGACCATATTGTCAGACATATCTGAGATGGAGAGGTTACGTTACTCTATTTGTTTCTTTTTTTTCAGTGGAGATTTATAATTTGTACCATTGTTGATTACTAACATTATTGATTACTAAATATTTAGTTCGAGCAATAGTGTTGGTTGTTTTTGTGGAGGTTGTCTCACTTTTTTTTCTTTTGTTGTATCTTTGGGTTAATTACGCCGAATGCTTTTTAATATATTCCCTTTACTTATAAATAGAATATAAAAAAATAACCAATGTATATCGTTTAAAACTTTAAAATATATAAATTATTTGTATATCAATTTTAATAAAATAACATTATTACTCTAAAAAGCCAAGTTTGTACTTGAATTTAGATAGAGTACATGCAGTCCAACAGTGCTGTTTGGAGTAAAAAAAACTATAAATTATAACTTCAAGTTAAAGTAAAATTTAGAGACAAAAGCATTTCAACTTTAAAACACCTTAATTGAAACCGTTATTTGGAAAACAAAGATAGTGCAGAATGCAAGAGCTTATAACACCATTGTTATAAGTCACACTGCTGGGAGTTGCAACCTGAAAAGAAATGACACATTTTGTATATATTCTGGAAAGAGTCTTCAGCTAAAGTGGCAATTTAGCTAAAATTGTCAATAAATATTCAAACAATCTTACAATGTGAATAAGGATAAGGGAGAAACGAACATATTTTACATATAGATGCCATCAAAATTCATTTCTAAGTTCTACCATTATGGCATTATGCCATACGAGTTTATTGTTTACATGCATGATGCCATCATTCAAACGCCCCAAATTTCAACTAGTACTTACAACAAGCTGAGCTCTACCACTCAGACACCAAGAAACAGTATAATTTACGGACTCAAGCATCCAATGAATTCAGGTGAGCAGCCACTTCCAAGCTTTATTTCAGCATAAAAAGTAAGAATCCATTCACTAGGTTACAAATTCACAATCGGACTCTGAGAAGTCAGACTCTTTCCACGATCATTGCTTATGCTTTTCATCGCTGCGGCAAAAATCTAATAAGGATGAGAATAGGCATGATTAATTATCCATTAATGTTATTATCGAGTATTATATTGTCAAAATTACTCCTCTATCTCAAAAGTAGGCTGATAATCTGATATTCAGGACAATGTTATGATACCAATGTAGAACTATGTAATGCAATTATGCAAATAATTGTAGCCTCATTCATGTGTAGTATGTCCTGCTAGCTATGAACGAGCCACCATTTGAGAATTTGGTAACAAATGTGATTAACTTCTGTTTGATCGATACATAACATGAATTGAGACAACATACATAAAGATGCAGGAACCGAGTGGAAGGGGATACAAATTGGCATCATTTGTGTTTGCTGCCATAATAAGATTTGGACACCTTAGAGATGACAAAGATTAAACACTTAAACAATGGAGAAGCCAAACTAAAGCATCACAGGTGATGTTCTTCACTAAAAATGGGCATATTTGTCCGTAACTGCTTTAAAGCCCGTATAACTGCCTCATAGCGTTTGTTTCATGTCCTCATATTAGTTAATAGGGAAGATCACATACAGCACAGCACTACATAATTGTCCTAAAGCAATCTATTCCAGGTTGAACAACAAATATTCACAATGTTGTGAATTCTAGATCTAATTGATCATAGTAAATCAAATATCTCAATATTGATTAGAGAACTATACCACCAATATAGCTCATAAACTTGTAATGTCAACCGTAACCATGATTTATTTATTGTCCCTTTGAGAAAAGGGGTGATACATTTGGTGTAAGTTTTACACTAAAAAGAAGATTCTTTCTTGTCTTATTTTTCCTTTATCCCCAGTCCCACTGCATTTTTCTAGCCTTTAACTACAAAATGAGACTAAAATTTGTAACACAGAATGACAGAAGATACGCAATGACATCAATTACAGAAGAGATACCTTGGATGGCGGACGAGGATGCTGCCTCAAATCTGCTTCTGTGCCTGAAGATTGATCCTGCATACTACTTCCCTCATACTTGTTACAACTGAACTTCGGTTTATACACCAAAACACCCTGATCAAATTCCACATGAAGGTGTAATTTAGACAAAAAAGGATAACACAATTGTATTGTACAACAACAGCAATTAATAACTGGGAGTGGAATAATATGGGAGGGTTTGTATTATTTTGCAGGAGGTAAGGAACAACAGTAATTATGTAGGCTAAGCGACTGCTGACCTTAGTAGAGGGCGGAAAATGTTGTCTCCTGTCAGTACGAGGTAATTGATGGTACGAGCTACCTCCCTCATTCACTTTACTACTGCCTTTCACTTCCTGATCTAATGAGACCAAACCATCATCAAATTTCTCATTTAATTCAGTGGACTGTATATTGTCCTTTCCCATAGACCTTTGTTGTGGCTGTAAATGATCGGATCTAGCAGCTTGAGTCTCATTGTGATTAGCATTTATTTTAATAAGATTATTGTTTCGATCAATACTTTGGGAATTATAGTCCTTTTTTGCAAACTGAACAGCTGCTGCACGTGCCCCAGCTATGGCCAGACTTAAACTTGACGACTTATCCACTTCAGTTGCTTTTAAATTACGAGTAAGCGCAGAGGCACGACCCGGTCTCAGGGAAAACGGATCAGATGGATCCGGAAGCGGAAACTTCACTGGCATAGGGGCATCAACCGGGACTAACCCTCTAGCTGCACCTTCATAAATCTTTGAACACGAAAAGAAAAAAAAACAGCCTTAATTCCAAGCAACACAAAACCAAAAAGGAAGATGTAGATTTGAAACCATAATTACCTTTCTTTCCAAGTTATAAACGCCTTGGTAACCTCGCATCTCAAATGGAATCAACAATTTCTAGAATAAGAAAATAAAAAAGCATTCATTCAGCATACACAGATACACACACAGTAGTTACTCCTACAATGATTAAAATGCACAGCAGTAGAAGGACACAAACCTGTGGCCTTTCACACAACCAACAATAATCAGTTTGCGCTTCCAGCCTTACCTGAAGAGAGGAAAGTGGGGTTAATGTAATATAGTGCAAAAAAACAGATAACTAGAAATCAATATTTTAACACTAAAACTACATCAGAGATCCAATGTGCATTTAAGTCTATTTAAAAACAAAAGCTCCGTAAATGATATTGATACCGTACCGATTCAGGAACCATATCCCAGGACGATAGCTCTTCGCGATTTAAGCAGCCAACAACTTCAACACAACCTAAATCAAGCATTCTAGTTAGCGAATCGAGTGTTCTAGTGTGACAGTAGTGGTATGAACTGTGCAATGTATAATAATACCCAAAAGCCTAGAAACAGGGTAATGTTGAGGAAAATCAATATTAGTGATCCCATGTAGTGCATAAATTTCCTTATAAAAATACTCCATTGCTTTGATCGTAGACTCCTCCGGAACTTTACCAGCAGCATGAATCCAAAGACGACCTTAACAAATTAAACAATTTCAAAACTTAGGGTGAAAGCTAGAAACAGATCAATATTCATACACAATAATTCAAATGAACAAGAATAATAATAATAAGATGGAACCTGTGATTGGAGCAGGCCATGTTCTTCCCTCGATTCGCTTGATTCCGTAAACGAGAAGAGAAGCCCAAGGCTGGTGCATAGTTATACATGGATTTCGATAATTTCCTGAATTTGAATTGAATTTTCTCATGGTTAATCTGAAATTCTGATTCTGATTATTCACCGCAACAAAGTGAGTTTTTGTTCTTGTACTGCTTGTGGGCGAGTGAACACGGATTGAGTGTGATTTCTCGCAACCACTCTAAACTGAGTTTCAATTTGATTTATATAAGTTTCAGAAACTTTACCTAATAAGGATAAGAATCAACCAACACGTCCAGATCAGTAATTTGTGGCAGGTTATTCTAGGTAAACTGAATTTGGCAATCATTTTTAACAATTAATTTCATTTAATTTAAATCATTTTAAATTATTTGGTTGTAATTTTGACTAAGGGCCTGACGGCCTGTTTTCTTTATTTTTTAAATGATTTTTATAATTTAATTTAATTTTATGTAAAATAAATTTATAAAAACTTTAAATGAAAATTTGGTTTCAATAATTATTTTTAAAATGCTATTTTATTGAAATTTTTTATAACAAAATTTTAAAAAATATTTAATTTTAAAGTTATTTTTTATAAAAAATATTTTTAAAAAGTAATTTTTTGAAAAAATTATAATTTTAACTATATTTTAATCTTTAATACTGTATATTTATATTATATGATGTTAAAGTTAATCTTATAATTTAAAAGAAAACGAATATGAAAAACATTTTAAAAAATCTATTTTTTAAAATATAAAAAATGAATATAATTTTTTTAAAAAAAAATCTTATAATAGTGAATAATACATATAATTACCATAATATTCAACTTGAACACCTATGTATGACAAGGTCCACACTTAAGACAATAGGACAATTTTGTATGTAGCGAGTATCGTTTTATGGTAGTGTTGCTCAAGTTAAAACCTTTATTATGTTAGAGGAAATGCCTTTGGCCTAACAATAGAAATTCAAAGACCACTTTGAAACTATCTAATTTAGCATCCATGGGAAAGTTTCTCGCTAGTATCAGTTAATCTTACAACATACATTCCATGACTAGATGTATCTGTATCACCCCTGGTGGATTTTATGGTTACCTTGACCGATCGTTAGTTACATTAATGAGCTCCCATGGATCACAAATTCATTTTTTCAATGTAACACACGAACGGTATGGAACTCCTGCAAGAAACAATGTAGAAATTTTCAATATCATCAAAGAGAAATCTCACACCTCATGTCTATTTCCAACAAGGTTTCCAAACCTCCAAGATAATATGTGGCGCCAACCTACTGTAGTTTAGGTTAGGTCTCCTACACAACAACAATTTAGATCTCAATCTCATATATGATACAATCAAGAGATATTTGGATTCCAACTTAAGTATGTGGGTAAGTGTCATACCCTAAAATTTACCCTTAGATCACTGATCATTAGCATTTCATTTTAGTCCATTTTCATTTTAACTAACCGTGAACCAGTTTGCCTAATTTTTTATTTATTTTTGTAGGTGAGTTGAAAGTGGTCTCGTGTGTCCGTCAAGTCAGGTTGAGTTCATGTGGACATAAAGATCTTAAACGTTTATAGATTTGTCATCAACAGCGTCTTAAGCTTCGATGGTGTGCGGTTTAAGGGTGAAATCATGGATTCAGAGAATGGGAGTCCGAGGCGAGTTTATCATTCTTTGGTCGAATTCAAGCTGCTGTGAATACTAATTTTAAGGGGAATTCAAGATGCATGATGTGTGTTTTCTTCTTTGATTATGGTGTGGGTCAGGATTGAAGGATTGCGTCAAATTCATATTGGATAGCAGTTGGTTTCAAGTAACCGCCACAATTCAGATGTCTCACGTGCGAAGTGCAAGATTTAAGTTGTTCAATGGTTTGCAATAAAATTCAAGAGAATTGAGTTTCAAATTTTTATTCAAGAATTGAATTTATATACATTTTTCAAGTCCAATTTCCATTACAAGAATACAAGGTTACAACATTCGGGATTACATACGGATTACATTTTCCTTTGGAATTACAAGTCTAAAGTTCCTAAAGTTCTAAATCCTAAAGACTTCAAGTTCTGTCTTTAAGTTCTGTACTTCGATCCTCAAACAAAATCTGCAAAAGCAAGGAAAAATGTTAGAAATTAGAATAATTAACGAAAAAGGGTTTTAATTTTATTTTTGGACCCTCATAGTAGTTTCATCATCGGGTCCGGGAGGGGCAACAGATTTGCTACCAAACCCCCGTTTTACTTTCGACAGCCAGGCTCAAGACCCTGCAGTATCTGTTCTATTCCGAGGAAGAGAAAAAGAGTTTTTGGAAATTGATTTTTTTTAATCCAAACAGGCCCAAACGAAAATCCAGCAAGTCAAAAATCAGAATCCAGACAACATCAATATTTCAAACAGATTAAATCCAAACAGCCCACGATATTTCAAAAAAAAATGGAACATCATCACCATCAATGAGAGACAAACCCGAAAATGGAAAGAAGAAATTGTAGAAGCACATTTCAATCTCAAGGTTTTGATGATGTCAACAAAGACTCAAGCTCATTCCATGATTGCAAGCAAAAAGTCAAAGCTTTCAAAACTGATCAAGATCAAGATTTTACATTATATACCCGTAGGGGTATATGTACTAAAGAAGTTGCTTGCACTATATACCCGTGGGGGTATATACACTGAAGATAAAACCAGAAGCATCATGTGCAAATGTTTTTACAACTTTCAAGATTTGGACTCAAGCTTCGGTATATCAATATCCACTCCTTTAATTGATATACAAGTGTTCAAATAATTTAACATATCAATATTTTGCATCTGCATGTTTTTAAAATCATTTGAATTGGTATAACACTTTTTTACTCGAGCATTTTTCTGAGTTTTAACAGTGTTAACCGATTAACCATATGGGTTAATCGGTTAACGACCTTAATTTTTGAATTCTTTGGGCCAACGTTCAAGTGTTAACTGATTAACCTATATGGTTAACCGATTAACACTGAACGAATTTTGAAAAATTGTTGTTGTTAAAATTCAAATGTTGTTTGAATATTATACATTTTCATGTTTTGATTCATACTCAATTATACCTTTTTGAAATGGTGTTTTGCTCATATAAATTCTGAGAATTTCAAATTGAAAAACACCTCCAATAATTTTCAAAATATTCATTGAATCAAATTCACTACTTTTCAAATATTTTCAAATATTTTCAAAAAGTGTTCATATTGTTCATACATTTCATATCCTGAATTTTGAACACTTGTGTTGATATTGAAGAGTGGATTTTGATCAAAAGGAGAAGATCAATCATTAGATTGATATTATCATTGTATCACTTTCAAATTACAAAAATACAAAGTTTATTCCTATTGTGACTTGTGATCCAGGATTGTTGGACACAAGGGTTAGTGTTTGCAAGAGGATTGTTCTTGCACACTAGTTGTTGATTAGTTGTTAGATTGTAGGCATCACCGGTTGATGGTGTGATAGGTTGTACTTTCTAAAACTATAGTGAAAACTCTCTTTCATGTGGAAAGGGGAGTGGAGTACGTTCGGATTGTGAAGGGAACCACTATAAATATCCGTGTTCATTTTATCTTTCTGCTTTTACTGCTTTCCTCACCAAGAACTTAAAGAAGAAAAATTCAAGAGTTTCGAAAAATCGGAAAAAGTTTCTTAAGCCTAATTCACCCCCCCCCCCCCCCTCTTAGGTATACTCAGAACTTACAATTGGCATCAGAGCAGGTTAAGGTAACCTGTTCCTAATGATTCAGTATAGCTTCCGCTAGCATCAACCCGGTTTTCAAAGACGGTGGAAGTAGTAATAAACCACCATTGTTCTCTGGAGAATATTTCGATTTCTGGAAAATCAGAATGAAAGCACATCTTGAAGCCCAAGGAGAAGGTATATGGGAAGCAATCGAAGAAGGACCACACAATCCAGTAAATGTGGTCAATAGCGTTGGAACCGCAAAGTTGAAAAGCACGTATGATGAAGACGATAAGAAAAAGATTCTTAATGAGAAGAAAGCTATCAACATACTCCAAAGTGCTCTCAGTATGGACGAATTCTTCCGTGTATCATAGTGTAGATCGGCAAAAGAGATTTGGGACACCTTGGTAGAAACGCATGAAGGAACCGCTGAAGTAAAAAGATCAAGACTCAACACTTTAAGTCAAGAATATGAGATGTTCCGTATGCAGCCCGGTGAATCTATTGTTGTCTTACAAAAGAGATTTGTTCATCTAACAAATCATTTAATTGCTCTCGGGAAGACCTTCACCAATGATGACCTCAACCTAAAAGTCCTAAGATCCTTGACAAGAGAATGGCAACCAAAAATGACCACTATTTCAGAAAAGAAGAGTCTCTCAATGATGACATCCGCATCCTTATTTGGAAAACATCAAGAGCATGAATTGGAACTTGGAAGACTCGAGAAACACGAAAGTTAAGAAAAGAAGTCCAAAAGAATTGCCTTGAAGATTGACACAAAGTATGACAAAGACGACGAGACTTCCGAAGCTGAAAATTTCATGCTTCTTGTAAAGAAGCTTAGTAAGTTTTTTAATAATAATAAAAATTCCTCTTTTCCTAAAAAGAATAAACATTTCAGGAAAAAGGATGCATCAACATCGAATCAAGAAGTCACTGCTATGAATGTGGGAAACAAGGTCACATAAAGCCGGATTGCTCGAAACTTGCAAAGAAAGGAGGATTCAAAGGCAAGAAGGATTTCAAAAATAAAAAGGCTTATGTTGTTTGGGACGATAACGAGATAAGTTCATCATCGGAGTCGGAAAGCGATGAATGTGCAAATATGGTTCTTATGGCGTCACATCATTCCGATGAAGAAATTAATGAGGTTAGTAACGATTTTTCCATTTATGACAATGATGCACAAGAAGTTATAGATGAACTTCTAAAAGAATGCAAGACTTTGTATAAAAGCATCTCATCCCAAAAGAAAAGAAATTCATTTTTAGAAGAACAAAATATTGCTTTTATAAAAAATATTGAAAATGAAAAACAAAAATTGGTGGATGAAAAACAAAGTCTTGTATGCAAAAATTATGAATCCTTATCTTTTCAAAG